ATTTTTACCTTTCTCTCTTTTTAAATATTCTTTATTAGGCTAAAATTAAATTATATAAATTAAAATTGTTCAAATATTCTTTCGATATTATTTTTTTTCTGAAGAAGGAAATTTTAAAAAAAAAAACAATTAGCTATTGATTAAAATTTTGTTTCAAATAATTTACTCAAAATTTGCGAAAAAAATTTCGGAAAAATTTTGGAAACAGATTTATCTATTCAAATTTTATTTTTAAATTTATCATCTATATTAATTGTTTAACTTTTTTATTTTTATTTTGAATTTTTAAACAGTAAGTTGAATTTATGCTAATTTATATTTTATTCTATCAATCAAGTTTTGTCCATATTTTAATTTGATGTTAAAAACTTGCGTCAATTACATGTTAATTAATTCTAGCTTCTTTTATTAAATGCCTCGGGCGCTTAATTAATATTTTTAATTAATTAATTAATTAAAAATATTATTGTAAATCAGCTTAATTAAAAATATTATTGTAAATCCTTTGGTTAATTAAAAATTATATAATGTAATGGTGGCTTGTGTCAAATGTCAAAATTAATTTCAATCAAAAGTTATATCGCAATTGATGATGGAGTTGGATAACGGTAATGATAAAATAGTGATAAAAATTAGATGATGATAAGAGTAGATGATGAAATTAGATAAATAATGATAATTTTAAGTTCTTCATTAACGTACTATTCAATATTATTATTTTTTGGCCAAAAACATGATGTCGAAAAATTTTCCTAACTTAAATTTATGTATAAGTTTAAATAAGATATGAGTATAAGTTTAAGTTTAAATTAAGTTATGAGTATAAGTTTAAATTAGTTTAAGGACAAATTTTAAATTAATTTTTTTATCAATAAAAATAACAATTTAATTACTATGATTAATATTTATGTAAAGGTATGAGAGAGTTTAAAATTATTTGCATAATTTATCAGCACTTAAAATTTGTCTAATTAATTATCTTAAATTTTTAACAGTTATAATTTTTTTTTCTCAATTTTAAACGTTTATTTTTATAATTATCTGAATTTATTCGTAATTATATAATTGTCAAATTGAAAAATTTTTTCCATTTAATTTATGACCGTAATTTTTAACATAAAATTATGAATGTAATTTTATAATTGTGTATAATTTTGGCAAATCTAATCCTTCACTTTCTTAATTATCCATTTCAATCTTAATTATCTAATTACCTAATTTAAAATATCCTTTTTTTTTCCGGATGTAATAAATTAATTAGAATTATTACAGGAAAAAGGTGGTATGCCACCATTACCACCACCAAAACCGCGTATTAATTTAGACGAAAGAATGAATGCTACTGATAATTATTACTCCGAACAAACAAGGTAAATTTATTTACCTTTTCTTTTCAGTAATAGCAAAATACTTTACAGTATCATTGAAAGCACTAATTAAGTTAGTTAATTAGTGTGGTGTAGATTAAAATAATTTAGCTAATTATTTTCTTACTTTTCAGTCCCTTTGCATATTACTTATTTACGTGATTTTATAAACTTTAACCTTTTTTTTAAATTTCAGTAAGACGAACATTTTTTTTGCTTTAGAAAAAATGAAAAATGTTTTCTCTTAATTAAAAAGCTTTTTTTTTCAATTAGAAATATCAAAAGTCAGTTATTTTGTAGTGATATAGGTGAGCAACTTTTTTTCGCGTATTTTTTACGTCAAAATGACGTACACGTAAGGTATTTGTTATATAATTTTCACGCAAAAATAGCGTGCGTATATGTTATTCGTTGCGTAATTTTACATGAAAATAATATATATACGTAAGGTATATGTTACAAATTTTCCACGTTAAGTTGACGTACATATGAGGTATTGTTAACTTGTAACATATTATTTACGTAAAAATAACGCTCATATATGATGTTTGTTACGTAATTTCACGTTAAAATGACGTGGAATGACGTATATTATTTCAGAATTGGCATGTAAAAAAAAGAAATTTTTTTTTTTTTATTATTTATTACAATATCATTAGGCATAATTATACAAATATTTCAAACAGCATGAAAATTTTCCTTCTAAGCTTATTCATTCATTTTGCCAAAAGAAATTTATTCCTTCAATAAATTAATATTCGAATTTTATTTAATTTATGATTATTTTGAAATTTGTATTAATTAAAAATTTCAAAAAAAAAATTTCTATAAATGAAATTATTTTTTGTATAAATTTTACAAATATACAAAAATTTTTATTTAATTCAGAGGAAGTGATCAAATAATAACACGAGCGCATTCGGTACTACCAGCATCTGTACGACCAAATTTAAATTCACGCGTTGCAAGTCCAACTGAAGAACGTACAACAACGCCACGAGCTATTGAACCTGATTTAGTTGCAAAAGATCGGTAATTAATTTTAAAAAAATTTTTTTTTTTATAAATTTGTTTTTTTTTTTTGCTCCATTATAATTATGAAAACAAAGATCAAATTATTACAATAAGCTAAACAATGAAGTTTTTTTCACGTAATTTTTACGTAAAAATGACGTACGTATATAGTATTTAAATAGTTTCAACGTATCAAAAATTATATTGCTTTTTTTGAATTATACCAATAATTATGGCAATAAATGGTGATAAATTGTTACCATTCATTTTCATTCTAGGCTTTCTCTCATTTCCCGAATATTATTTCTTGGGTAAAATTTAAATCTTAATGTTACTTTAAACTTGAATAGTATTAAAATAAGTTAGATGAAATAATTGAATCATACGATTATCATCACGAATGCTTTCCTACTTCCAATTCTCGAATATTTCTCGGGTAAAATTTGAGTCTTAGTGTTGCCTTAAACTTGAATAGTACTAAAATAGTTAAAGAATTATAATAATTGAATCATCCGACCTTAATCCTCAATATTTTCCGGATTTTATTTTCTAATCTTAATGTTTAATCTTGGATATAGCACTGAGTTATTAAAGTCATAAAGTCAATTATTAAATCCAAATTGATTATTTGGCATTGATCATAGGCTTTATTTAATTCATTTCAATTATTTATTTTGTTTATCAACAAATGATTAATATATGATAAAATAAATTTGACAGGCGCATATATGATCTGTTTGTCATCTGGCATTTCTGGTTTCTGGTGACATATTATTTTTTTTTCATCATCCTTCCCTATATTCTATTGATAATTCCGATAATATATTAATTAAAAAACAGGAATACTTTTTATTTATTAACAGCAATTCATTTACCTTAATAATTTTGACTCATCATAGAATGAAATTGAGTAATAATTCCTTAAAAAGTTATTAATTATAATATGAATATAATATGAATGCTAATAATGCTAGCAAAAAGAAATTTGAAATATTGCAAAGTAAAAAAAAGAAAGAAGAAAACCTTTTCAAGTAAAAATTTGAAAAAAAAAAGTGTAAGGAAAACGATGAAGGAATGATCTTTTAAGTTTTTAATTTAAATTTTTATTTTTATTTAATTTTAAACCAAACCCTCTTTTAATTATTTCAAAAAATAAAAAAATTTTCATATTTGCATCAATTTATTGTAATATTTTCATTCATAATTAATTAATAAATTTGATTATCAATATATTACATTATGATTGAATTTTATAAATATAAAATTATTTTTTAACTTTTAATTTTTCTTTTTTTTTTTTTAAAGGTATGATCCAGCTAGTAAATGCTTTTCCTATGTACCAGCTCGTGCACTTAGTGAACATTTTACGGCACCACGTAAACCACAACGTCTTAAAATTGATGAAACAGCTACAACAACATTAAATATTTCACCATCAGCAAATGAAATTGCAATGATACCAGTGAAATCAACAGATTTACAACGTTTACCTGAAACACCAAAATGGGAAGATGATATTGAAAAGGTAAATGAATTTTAAATTTATCAAAAAATTATTTAATAAAATTTGGATAAAATCGTTTTATGAATCATATTTAGTTTAAAATTTTACACCATCAAATGATAACAATGATAAAGAGTTCAAGTTATCATTTGTTATTCTATTCATTCCAAAATAGATTTAAATTAATTTAAAATTTTACTTTATTTTAATGATACAATATTGAAATACCAGGTATGAATTAAAATTTTACACCATTATTAATATCTTCGTTATTGGATGCATTAAATTGTCAAATAATAATATTATGCACAAAGTAGTAATATTAATATATAAGTAATCACTTAGTTACTTAAATTATAGTAATATTAATATATAAGTAATTACTTAGTTACTTAAATTGTAGTAATATTATTATATAATTACTTATTTACTTAAATTAAAATTTTTAGTCCAATCTTTGTTTTTTTTCTTTTTTTTGAAAAATTAAACGTACTAGAATAATACCATGCAATGTTGCATTAATATATATTAATACTACTGTTGCATTAATATACCGGTATACTAGTTTATTAAATTTAAAATTACAATCTAATTATTGTTTTGTTGAAAATGAATTTTTGGTATATGCATAGTTCTGACGATTTAGCTTAATATAATAATGCATAA